CCTACAGGGATGGTGCACTGTGTGCCTGGGCATGTGCATAGAAGCAGTGAAGACCTTCACACACACAGGGGCACGCACACACACACACACACACAACACAGACGCTCTGTATTCCTCACACACACACACACATCCCATATACACCACACACAGATGCATATCCCACATGTGTGCACATACACTGATCAACTGAGTATATCACTTACACACAGTACACTACAGAACACACATGTACCACACAGAGATACATCATCTACATTTGTGTGCATACCCCGTGTACATCACACACACCACACACCCACATAGCACACATAGATATATAACGCATATACCACACAGCACACTGTATGCACGCCTTCATAACCACACACGCACACACACACACGCACACACACAGACACATGCGCGCGCGCACACACACACACACACACACACTGTTTTGCTGGGCTCATTTTAAGCCAGGAATCACTTGGATGATGAAAATGTGTTGAAGGAGAGAGTGCCTGGGGAAACAAATTTAAGTCAATTATAGAGGATTTTTAGAATACCAATCATTCTTTTCTGGTTTTGGACCACTGAAGAGAAGCTAAAGGATTGCCATGAATTATTCAAGGACTCTGGAAGTTTGAATAGGGAGATCTTTTGATTGGATGAATGGAGTTGTGACATTTGACTGGAAGGGGAACTGTTTTCTTTTTTAAAAGAAGATCTGTTTCCACCAACAGTGATCATTTCTGCCAATAATCACAGTCTGGAGCACGTGGGCTGTGGTCTGATTGGTTGCATGTGTATGATAGCCTCTGGGATTTAAAAGTCAATGAGATTTGAGGCTCTTGCTCTCAAACATTATGTGTTGTTTTCCTAAGATGTGTAGTGATGATCTGGAGCAAAAGTGTGTTTTTAGATTTTGCAGGTCATAGAGGCCTCAAGAGTGCTCAGTGAGAAGCTTCTGTGAACTGTTACAAGCTACCATTTATTGAGCCCTTCCTAAGTAACCAAACACTTCATTTTATCTTATTTAACTTAAACTCTGCACTAATTCCGTGCAATATAGTCCTAAGTCTCCCAAGTGGTAGGCAGAAATATATATACCCTGGCCATCCCTATCTTAAGGGATTATGTAGTTAAACTAAAAGACAATATAAACACCCTGTATGACTTACCATCCTCTATATCAAAGGGCATTCCAGAAAAGTACCCTTTCACCCAGGTGAGAGAGTTTTGCCAGAGGCCAGACATACCTGAATCCAGCTTCTTTGTTACTTTTAACAGAGTAGAAGTCAGGAATCAGGTGTGCAAAGGAAGACTTGTATGCTAGGTGCTCTGTGGCCTCTTGTTAGTGCTGGGGTTCACATGGGTTCTTGCTTTTGCTAATTAACATGTTGACTTGCAAGTCTCTTTCAGAGAGGTACTATGTGGTAAAGCCCCGAAGAAAAAGAGTATTATTGAGGAAGAAACAGCTGTTTTTCTGAGCACTGGGCAGATTGGGAAGAAGGATATGGGTCAGAATTGTTAGGGCAATGTTGAATGCTCTGGAAGACTGAAGGAATAGCTGGATTTTGTGCTTTTCTTCCCATTCCATTTGTTTCTAGGGTTTTATAACTTCACAGAAGTTTAAAATATTCTCTGGATGTACATTTACCATGATCACTGCAGACTTGCAGACTGTGTGTGCACTGACGGCTGTTTAACACACGAGAGAACTTTGACTGTGGAAGGCTCTCTGGAGGTTGCACACCTAGGCCTGTGCTAAGTTCATGAGCTTTAATACTTCTGGACCCTTTCTTTGGGAATTGTGGTCAGATCTTGTATGGTACTGGGGGACCCCTTCTGGTGGTGCCAGGGATTTATTGTGCATGCTGAGCAAGGGCACTGCCAATCCAGCTACCTCCCTCGCCCCTGTGGCATCTCTTGAAAGCCTTCAGAGATGGTGAGTGGCAAGTTTTGGGCCTTAAAAATAATCTAGTAATAGTTCAAATAGCAGAAAAATTAGTCTATCCTCCCTTCACTCCTTAGGTAAAATGAATAGAAGTGGAAAAAAGTATGAGACTATCCTAAAAGAGTGGGCGTAATTATTAGAAACAGCTAAAATTAATTTGCAGTAATTCAGTCTTGGAATTACAGATTTTAAAAAGAAATTGATGAAATGGATCTTCTTGATTGGTCTGAAAAAGGATACTGACACCATTTGGAAAATACGGTCTTTAGAAATTTTTGAGCAGTGGTCATATTAACAAAATTAAGTCTACAGTTCTCTCTCATTCATGGAGGTTAATTTACCTGGATTTATAGGTCCTACTCATTTAAAAATATTCCCAAATAAAATCTATATATTCTCATTCTCCTGCCCCCCTTTCCCCTCCTCACCCACACACTGCCCACTCACACACTGATATGTGGCAGCAGTCGGGGATATTGTCCAGCCTTAGGATCTAATAGAACGGCCTCCTGCTGGGTAAAAAGATGAACACACTGAGATAGTTCACCAACTTTTGGTCTGTTGGCACATCAGGCAGACCCTAGGGTAATCCTTATTCCATGGAATTCTGGTTAACAAGCCCAGGAATGATATTCTCTCTCTCTCTCTCTCTCTCTCTCTCTCTCTCTCTCTCTCTCTCTTTCTCTGTTGTATTTTTCTCACTAGGGGAAGCTGCATGATCCTCAGCTCATGGGGATCATCCCAAGGATTGCACATGATATCTTTGACCATATTTATTCCATGGATGAGAACTTGGAGTTTCACATCAAGGTAAGTGCTATCCCATGAGTACCAAGACTCTAGGTCTCAAATCATGTTGCTTCGTCTTCTTCCTTTTATGTACATGTAAAAGATGGTTTTATCTAATTCAAATGACATTCCTGTGGGAAGCAGAGCCCTATTTATTTAAAAACTTGAGCCCAATACTTAGCCATCTGGATAGTTTGCTTGAAATCGTGAGATTATGAAAGTGAAGGCCCTCTTTGGAATGGAATCATCTTGATGTCTGAATTCTACCTTTTACCCTATGGATTTCTGTAGCTATGACCAGAATATGTCTATATTTGGGTTAGGACAAAGTGAGTTCCATGGAACATGAGCCCTTGTATTATTTAGCAATAGATAAGCTACCAGAGAAAAAGACAATTAACAAATAAACTGGGAAAATAATTTGATGAAAAAAATGTTAAATTAATCACAAGTTAAATTAATTGAATAAAATGCATCTCTGCAAAGGAGGCATGTGCTGTACTACATTTCTTTATATTAGGACACGCATTTATCCCCCTTGGAATATAATAGGTTAGTGTTTTGAGGAACACATTCTGACAAGTATTGGGGAAGGGTATTCTCATCATTTTTCTCTTTGTTTTTGTTTTAACTAAAACCTCTGTACTAGCTTAAATTTGACTTGAAAGAAAGATTTCTACTGTATTTTTTAGCTGTTAAATCATAAAATATGATATTTTAGGTATATTCATTGGAACTTTTTGTGTGCAAATTACTGAAGGTCATTTGTCTAAGCAAATGGAAGAAATTGTTGTAAGATACAGAATCTAATAGGTGTGGAGCAGAGGCTGTGAAAGAAGGAAATAAATCCAAACTTTGCTTTTCTTTTTTTTTAACTTAAAAATTGCGATATAAATTACATACCATAAAATTCAGCCTTTTAAAATGTACAGTTTGTTGGGCTTCAGTATATTCCCCAAATTGGACAGTCATGGTCTTGTCAAATTTCAGAACATTTTCATCACCCCCTAATAGCAGCTTGATACCCATTACAGGCCCTGTTTCTCTTTCTTTTCTTCTCTCTCTTATTCCAGACCACCTCTCTCTCTCTTGGTTGGGAATGGGCCACTTGGCAGCTCCTGTTCCATGTTCCCTTATTTCCCACCCCACCTTCTGTTAGGAAAGGCTCAGTGACCCAGCTAGGGTAGGTGCCCCCGCCCTGGCTCTCTCTGACCAGGATGCATATGGTGTCCGAGTCCCCCCGCTGTCACTTGAGAATGGCTTGACAGGACGGGAAGGGAAGGAGGCTTTCTAGGAAGCCTCAGAACTGAGCAGATTTCCCTGAAAAGCTGGAGCCTTAGTGCACTAGACTCAGACTAGAGATGGGAAAACTCAAGTTCAGAGGTAGACCATTGGATGGCCTAAGTTATGAATAGACCCAGAGCAGACTGGTTCCACATGTGTACTTCTTCCTTACTTATACTAAATTTCTTCCTTATTTCTGCTATCTACTTTTCCTAAATTACATAAAATGAAGGCAACATCTGTTTGCCCAATTGTAAATTATATCCAGCAAATCACTTTCCCTTGCAGTTTCCTTTGTGGGCTAAAGCCTGCTTCTCCTTGCCAGGCTTCTTTATATCTAAGGATACAGAAGCTTGTTGCTTTGATGGGATCAAGATTTAGAAGCTTAGTGCTCCTTTAAGACTGTTCAAATTTAAATACCTTAAACTACTGCAGACTTCTTATGTGATAATCCTGCAGTAAGATGTTAAACCAATTACTGTCCTGGAAATAGTGTCTTGTGTTAGAATCTTATTATAAAAACAGCCCTAGTATGAAGTGGGAGGAGGAGAGCAACATTTTCTAAGTCTCTAGGGCTGAATTTTGTAGTTTAGATTCCTGTTTTGCATTTGTAGTTAATGCTTACTTGTTTCATAAATAATACTTTTATGTGGACAAGTTAGCTGCTGACTACTGTGTATTTTGAACTGAGTAGTGACAGGTTAAATCAAAAGAAAGAGGACTGATTAAGGCAGTATTGAAAATCTGCTCCTCAAAATGAATCCCACAGAGGCTTTAAATGTTATTTCTGAATATGTTATTGCTTAATGTCAAACTATGCCTATTTATTTCCTTCCTCCTGGTCTCACAAAGTATTTGAAGTGACAGAAAAATAAAATTAGATCTCTGACCAAAAGCAGAAATTAATAAACCTGAATTCTGCTTCTTGTATTAAATGTGAACAGGATTCTAATTGCCGGATTTGCCAGTGTCTACTTTACAACTGCTTTTTAGCTGTAATTAATTTTCTATGTAATCTATGGAAATAAAGCCACATGTTTAAGATCTCAAGGTAACAGAAAGGTCTTAATGAAGATTAGACGGTTGTGCAACAAGTTGAACAGGTTGGCACCAGGGCAGAGTTGGCTGCAGGAAGAGGCAGGTTAGAGATCTATAGGATTAGAGGCCAGCAGGGTCATGAAGACTTGGGAAGTGGGGAGTGCAGCAGTTTGAGAGATTATACAGAGCACTGAGGGGCTGGGGTGTGCTCAGTGGCAGAGTGTTTGCCTAGCATGTGCTAGGCCTTGGGTTCCATCTCCAGCACCAAAAAAGAAAACCAAAACTAAGCAACCTCAAAACTGGAAGTAGAGAACAGTGAATCATTCTAATGTCAGGTAGGTATGTGCATGAGAGACAGAGTGACAGGGCATTTGGAGAAATGTTCAGGTAAGCAATGTTGTTAGGGAAACAGCCAACCAGAAGATGATGCCCAGCTGCAGATTTCGGGATTCAAAGCCAAGACCTCCAGTCTCCCAGGAACTGAGAAGTTAGATGGTTCTAGACTGAGGCATGCAAAAGATAGAGGACCAGAACCTAGTCAGAGTAGGGATTAGGGCCGATGTAAGGAGACTTCATGTTCCCCCAATTAGAGGCAGCCTGGTCCTGAAATGGGATATGGAATAGCTTCACCAATATGACACAGCCCAGCTTTGGACCTCTATAGCTACAGTCATGGGTAGCTTAACAACAGAGTATATTCCGAGAGATGTGTCATTTAGGTGACTTGCCATTCTTCACACATCACAGAGTGTGCTTACACCAACTAAGGAAGCTATGATGTCACTAGGCAGTATACTTTTAGGGGACCACTATCCTGTACATGGTCCAGTACTGACCAAAACATTGTTATGTGGTACATGACTATACTCTCCTTTTTGTCCATTTCTTTGTTTATATTTCACAAACACTTATGAATGAGGGGAGAAAAATGTTTATCTGGCAGATGTAAGCTGAGTGCAGAATACTAGAGGGGATTTTTGACATCATAATGTCTAATGGGTTAATCTGACATATGGGAAAATTTAGACTCTAGGGTCTTATTTATGTGTGAATTAAATCCCCATGACCACATATTTAGGTAAAACAGTCCTTAGTCATCAGCCAACTAAGAGTCACCTGGGAAATTTAGAAGCTGATTCCTAAGCCCTAGTCTCAGAGATTCTGACCTAGTAAAACTACAGTTGAGTTCAGGACTCTGCAAGCTAAATAAATTCTGTAGGTGACGTTGATGCAAACGGTGCTAGGGCCGAGGTCTGAGGACAAGTCACTGGAAGGCTTCCTTTTCCTCTCGCAGTGCAGTCATCTCTTAATAGGTCACATTTGGTTCAAATCTTTCCTAGATTCTCCTGGCCACCTTCTCTGGCTCTCTCCCAGTTACCTTTTTGAACTCTTGTAGTTCCAAGTACATTGCCCTTATCCCGTCCGTCTTCCTTCTTGTGAATGTGTGGATTGTGCTCTCCCCCAGTTCGGATGGGCTGTCAGTATTATTCAGTAAGGTGAGGGCCATTCATTTTTTAGAATTGCTTGCAGAGGGTGTTGTTATATTCTGGCTGTTGTCATATATAGAAGTTCGCTTGGTGCCCATCTACTGTAAAACTAGGGTCCTCCTGAAGGTGGCTAACTCATGAGGTAAATAACATGTAAATGGAGACCCAAGGAGCTATGACGTGGGTGGACAATGGTCCACACTTAGCAGCGATGTCCAGAGCAGTCTGAGCAAACAGGAAGCAGGAGGAGCACAGGTGAGCTGGCTGCAGCTTTGTGCTCAGGACGCTGGGTCTTCTCTCGGTCTCCTCTCTTCTTCTTCTATTTAGCCATGCATGACAAAGCCGTTGTATGGTTTTGAATTATTGATGTTTTTGAATTATAGGTGTCATACCTATTCCAATTTCAATTTGTCTTTAATCAGGTTTCCTATTTTGAGATCTACCTCGACAAAATAAGGGATTTACTTGATGGTGAGTAACCTTAAAGCTTATCTTTATTTACTCTGTAAATAAAAGTCCAGGAAGGTCAAAATGACTTGCAGTCCTTCTGCCTGAGAAATTGAACTTATAGAGATGTTTTCTTGCCTTCAGGCTGCATGCTCACTGTCAGCCACAGCTTAAATTTTCAAAACGCGAAAATGTTAGATTTACCTATCTTCTTTAACAATTTCTATATTTCCTCCAATATAGGGTTTTTAACTTTTTTTTCTTCTTTGCATGTTATTATTATCTTTGTAGTATCCAAGACCAACTTGGCTGTTCATGAAGATAAAAACAGAGTTCCATACGTAAAGGTAGGAAGGAGACTTGATTGGTGATGTGAATGATTTTTCTGTCATCACTGTCAAAGTAATTAGTGTATTATGTAAGATGCCCGCAATAGTATCTATAAATGGCATATAGGTACATAATCATGTTTCTTATGTTTAATATTGACCTGTCCAAAAAAAGAATATTTAATTTTTTCAATTGTATCTTTATATAAATTATTATTATCTTTGTTTAGTGCTGGGCACGGACCCACACCCTACCCCTTTGATGTAAATAATTATTATCTAAGATTGTTTACATTTGAAGAGACTTTGGGATGAAGCACAGTAGCTTACACTTTGTAGTTGAGGGAAGTGTGTCATATCTAGGACGTCAAAGTATCTATTGATGGGTGCCATGGTAAAATAATGAAGGTATCTCACCTATTTCTTCTTTTCTCCTCAATTTTCTTCTTTTATTCCCTGTCTCCAGCAAATATTTCGGTTGGTTATGAATACGTACTCAAAATCCTAGGAAAATCCAGCATTTCTTTTATGGTTTACTTCTGGTTTCCTAGGTTTCCTAGGTTTTGCTTAGATTTCTCTTTAATGTAGAATTTAAGCCCAAGGCAGATGAGACATTTTTGGATCAACATTGCAGCCTTACTTATCTGTGTCTCCAGAAAGAATTGGGAAGATGTTTAGGTACTTCCAACTGTTGTTTCTTTTCAATTCGTTTGCTGGCCGACCTGACCTGATCTGGCCTCTCATCTAGGGGTGCACGGAGCGTTTTGTGTCAAGCCCGGAGGAGGTCATGGATGTCATAGATGAAGGCAAAGCAAACCGACACGTGGCTGTTACAAGTAAGTGTGGTGATAATGTTTCCTCCGCTGTGACTTAGGGTGCAATGTTTGTCTCCCAACAGGAGGGCTGGGCGAGAAGCTATAAATTCAGTACAGTGTGGGAAGGTAGTTAGTTAGAGACAGTGGCCTGAACACACTCCAGGGCATGTGCAGGGTGGTGTGTCCGGGGGATTGTGGGAAAGATGTCTTCAGCTCTCTGAAGTGCTCTGAGGTCTTGGAATGTTGAATGAGACTCTTTGAACCTGATAGTGGCCTCAGCCTAAACAGTAAAGAAAACAACCAGCCAACAAAGAGGATAAGAAGTAAGCTTCTCTCTAGGTTTGTTTTAACCATGTTAATGTTCATATTTGGTACAAAAAAACTCCAACCCAACAAGTTTTACATACCAGTCATGTATGTGAGGAAAGATACCTTGTGAGATTTCTGCCTTCTGTATAAAGAGAAAAGAAAGGCAAAGAGGAAGTCAGAAGGCAAGGTAGGAGCTTCCCAAGCCACTAATGCCATGTTCCAGTGGATGCATTCAGAGCAGCTCATTTGCTTGGCACTTCTTGCCTCTGTGTGCATCTCGTGTCAAGAGTGTGTCCAGAGTGGCAGAGGTTCCATGAAAAGACTGAGGTTCTCTACCTCATTCCAAGGCATGTGGACAATGAGAGAGAGTGCGTATGAAGTGGAAGTAAGTAAGGATTTCTAGCTTTAAGGAGGAAAAAAACAATCTGCAGTGTATTTTAACATGGTCTGGGCACCGACACTGAGAGGAAGATGGCTTGCTCTTTTTTCTCAGTGTGTGAAGTGCTAGGTTTGACCTAACACACAGAGAACTCTCATTCTCTTAGCTGGCCCAGGGGAAGCCTGGACAGGTAGTGAGCTCACTCTCATGTGGTACAAGGGATTCAGTCATGGTTTCGTTGACTGTTTTGGGTTCTTTAAGTCTCTTCCACCTAGGATTCTGATTCTGTGACCCAGAACTGCGATTCTTAACCTTTTCTTTACCCAACAATGTACCATATGATATTCATATACGTGGCAAAGTTAACAGTTGAGCCTAGACTTGGATACAGTGTAGGCCAAACTCCACTTCCTTCTCTCCTGCCTGAAATGCACACACACTTAAGAAGTCATTGACTGTGTTTCTTAAGCTATTGTTAGTCATGAATTATTCATGGCATACCTGGCAGCCCTTTTTGGCCCCTATCTTAGTTACTTTTCTCATTGCTGAGACAAAATACCTGTCACTCACAAATTAAAGGAGGAAAGGTTTATTTCACCTTACAGTTTATAGAGATTTCAGTCAATAGTCAGCTGAGAGGGGCATGGCAGAGGAGAAACAGTTCATGGCCTGACGGGCAGAAGGCAGAAAGTAGCAGCAGAAGCAGACTTCCCTTTTCCTTTTATCTGGTCCAGGCTATAAGTTTTTTGGGTGGTGCCACCCACACCCAGCAGGGGCCTTCTCACTGTCCACACCCAGAACTATTCTAATTCCAATTAGTGGACTAATTTAGTAGCAGCCAGCTCTAATCCCATTGTCACACGCCCTGCCCTAGATCCAACCAGCTCTGTAAAGCCCCACCTATGAGTCCATGAGGCTTTGGGGGGACATCTAGACACAAGCCCTAACAACCCCCCAGTTCAAAACTTCTGTTCCAAAATACTACTATTGTTCTTATCATCTGCCAGGTTTTGTTTCCTTGTGGTAAAATGTATATAAAATACAATTTATTATTTTAACTAGGTTTAAGTGTACAGTGCCATGCTATGAAGTATAGTCACATTGTATGTAACATCACCACCATAACTACCAAAACTTTTTCACCTTCCACCTGAAACTCTTTTTTAAAAAAATTGGTTTTCATTTAAATTCTTTGTGTGGAGTTGGTACATGTATGTAACACGGCTTCCTCACCCCTTCCCCATCTCTTGGTCCCCTTCCCATTTGAGAAAGATCTCTTTACTTTGTTATCTATCTTTTATTTTTATCTTTATTTATATTTTGGGTTTCTCATATAATATTTAAGCCTGTGTGTCTGATTTATTTCACTTAACATTATGGTATCAAGGTGCATCCATTTTCCTACAAATGTCTCAGATTTATCTTTCTTTCTTTTTTTTTCGGGGGGGGGGTACCAGGGATTGAACTCAGGTCCTTACGCTTGTGCAGCAGGCGGCAAAACCACTGAGCTAAGTCCCCAGCCCCAGATTTATCTTTCTTTGTAGCAGAATAGTACTCCATTGTGTGTAAATACCACATTTTCTTTATCCATTTATCTGTTGATGGACATCTAGGCTGGTTCCAAGATTTAATTATTATGAATTGTGCTGCTGTAGGCAGCATGCATATATTACTGTAGTATATAATACTTTTTTGGGGAAGATATCTAGAAGAGGAATAGATGGGTCAAATGGAATTTCTAGTTTTAGTTTTTTGAGGATTCTTCATACTGATTTCCATAGTGGTTGTACTAGTTTACGTTCCCACTGACAACGTAGAAGGGTTCCTTTTTCTCCACAGCCTTGCCAGTATTTATTATTATTTGATTTCTTGGTGATAGCTCTTCTTTCTGGGGTTAGATGGAATCTCTGTTAATTTGCATTTCCCTAATGACCAGTGATGTTAAACATTTCTTCAGGTGTTTATTAGCCATTTATACTTCTGGGAAGTGTCTTTGTTTACTTGCCCATGCTTTCATTGGTCTTTTATTTTCGAGGCTTTACTTTTTTGAGTTCTTTATATATTCCAGACATGAGTCCTCTGTCTGAGGGATAGCTGGCCAATTTTTTTTTTTTCATTTTGTAAGTTGTCTTTTTTTTCTATTGGTTGTTTGTTTTGCTGTGGAGAAGCTTTTTAATTTGATATGATCTGACTCTTTTTTTTGTACTATTTCCTGTGCAGCTGGGGTTCTGTTCATAAAGTTTTTTATTAATACCTATGACTTCGCGAGTTTTACCTACTTTATCTTTCAGTAGGTTTAGTGTTTCTGTTTTAACATTTAGTTCTTTGATCCATTTTCATTTCAGTTTGGCACATGGTAAGATATAGGGGTCTAGATTCAATCTTCTGCATGTGGATAGGCAGTTCCCCCAACACCATTTATTAAAGAGGCTGTCTTTCTTCCAGTGTATGTTTTTAGCCCTCTGGTCAAATATCAAATAGTTTCACATAATTTTGATTACTGTAATTTTTTTTTCATGAGCAGATGGGTTTATTTCAGCAGTAAGTTTGAAACTCTTTCTTTAAGCAAGTGTACTACAATAATTATATCAGGAATAGACAATTTCCTACACAGTCATGGATATAAAAGTTCTTTTTGTACTTTCGTTCAACACTGATCAACAAGCAGATTCAGTCCACATTTGCTGTGATCGATCTATTGAGTTAACCCAACCTTCTGCTTCAGAGTCTCCGACATCTCAGGTGGAGGCGGGTGGGGGAGCCTGAAGTAGATCTTCATGGAGTCATAGATGAACCACTGTAATGCAGTCAGAGTACTGATCATGATGACAAGGGGAAAGAGTCCCTTCCACACACCTCTAAAGCCAAGTCTCTGGAGGACCTGAGAAGCACTGCTACCTTTCTGTTTCTTTAGCACAGATACCACAGAATCAGCAGGGTGAGAAACACTTGCACAGAAGACTCCAGCTATGTAGCCTGCCACAAATGTTACAACCAACTGTTCTGCCTTTGTACATTCACTTCGGGGCTTAGGAACCGCAAACTTGTACAATGCTTCAACAGTACGTTCAAAGCAGGCGAACTTCATGGTGTGTGGTATTTGTCTTATCCAGAGAGGGGGCAAGAATGCTTTTAGGGTTCCTTCCCTATACATTTTGGGAGCAGCATCTCTCAAAGTGTTAGCATAACCTGGTTGGGTTTGAATTCGAACTTTAGCAGCTTCCATGGGAGCCAGGGCAATGTCAGCAAAGAATTCAGCACTGGCAGAGGCAGCCAGATATAGTGATGTACTCCAGAGATAGGCATTCTCCTCACCAAGCATGTTGCTATACAAGACTTTGAAGACTTCATAAAAGCCAAACTTGCAGAGTCCTTGCGTAGAGTAGCCAATGAAAGTTGGAGCCCATCCCTTAGTCAAACCACGAACACCGTCTTAAGTATAACTGAGAATGCATTAAATATGCCCTTATACTTTTGGGGGTCCACCTGCATACGGCATTTCACTAAATCCAAGGGAGCCGCAGCAGTATGTGTCAGCCCACAATTGGAGACCCCATCAAAGCCACACAGTGCATGAAACTTCATGGAGCCATATTCACAATTGTACTCTTTCACAGCGGTGGCAGCCAGCTTTCGGGGGCGGCGCGGGTCTCCTGGGGACCCAGCCGGGCTGCTGCTGGGGCCTGCGAGGTCATTGTGTACCAGCTGCAGGTGCGGCACGTTGAAGGGATTCACCCGTGCCAGGCGCGCCGCAGACGAGAACATCTCGCTAAGATGGCGCACACCCACCCTCTCCTTTTTTTTGGTACTGGGGATCGAACTCAGTTCCTTATGCTGGTGAGGCAAGTGGTGGAACCACTGAGCTAATTCTCAAGCCCCATTACTGTGATTTTGTAGGTAAGTTTTGAAATCAGTTATTTTGAGACCTCCAAATATTGTTCTTATATTTCAGTATTATTTTGGTTATTCATAGTTCCTTCAGATTCCATATCAATTTTAGGTTGAATTTTTTTATTTCTGTAAAGAATATCATTGAGAGTTTGGTAAAGCTTGTATTGAATCTATAGATTCCTTTGGGTAATATTGACATCTTAGCAATATAAATTTTTAAAATTAATGAACATAGGATATATTTTGTCTAATTTGAAATATCTTTTTAACAACAATTTTAGTTTTCAGGGTAGCTTTTATTTTCTTGTTTATTTTTAAGTGTTTTATCCTTTTTTTTGCTATTCTAAATAGTTGTTTTCTTAATTTCTTTTTCTGATTGTTCATTGTGTATGTATAGAAACACAACTGACTTTGACATTTTGCTTTTGTTTCCTGTAATGTTACTAAATTCATTTATTAATTATAACTTTTGTTCCCCCGGTACTGGGAATGAACTCAGGGCCTTGTGCTTGTGAGGCAGGCGTGACGCCACTGAGCTAAATCTCTGGCCCAGTTATAACTATTTTTTAAAATGAGGTATGTATAGATTTTTTTTTTTTAAATAACATGCAGTCCGGTAAAATGGTTTTGAGAGATGACTGGGGACAGTTGCTGTGGTCTCTCTCTTTTTGGTGGATGAAAACCAGGGTAGGAAAGGATTTTTATTTGTAGGGCCTCATCCGATTGAAGTGTCTTTAATCTGTGAGACCGCTTTGCGCTTAGCACGTGTCAGAGAACTGTATGTCTTAATCCTTCCCTAAGAAAGCCTTAATCCTTCCTTACAAAAGCTTATGATATTCCTGATAAGACCAGGCTTACACACATGACTGAGATAGTAGCATCAGGTACTAACCAGGAGATAGAGACTGAGGGATTTAATTTGAGGTTGGGGGAGCTGTGGGCTTCTCAGAGAGCTGGGCTGACAGAGGACATGGAGGATGGTGGCTTCAGGCGGAGCTGGAGAATCTCTTATTTTAAACTGCCAACCAAGATTCTTAGATTAATTTCTTTGCTAGTTGAAGACATTTTAAATCTTTCATTTCTAGGATGAACATTTTTTTTTAAAGACGAAAGAGCAGTCTCAGATAATTTTAGGTTTTTTATGTATATATTTTTAAGTTTTTTGAGACAAGGTCTCACTGTGTAGTTCAGGCTGGCTTTGAATTCACTATGGGAACTAGGCTGCCTCAGTCTCAAGGTGATCCTCCTGCCTCAGCCTCAGGAGTACTGACTGGGTTCACAGGCATTCACTCCAGGCCCAGCATCTTGTATAATTTTAAAAATTGGTGAGACTTCAAAAAAATGGAGCTTTCAGGCATGGTATGTTGCGCTTTTAAGACCAGAGCCTTACTACCTGTGTTTATGTGTTCTTTGGAGAGCAGCAAATATTTTCTTTTTCAGACATGAATGAACACAGCTCTAGAAGCCATAGCATCTTCCTGATTAATATTAAACAAGAGAATGTAGAGACTGAAAAAAAACTCAGTGGGAAGCTTTATTTGGTTGATTTGGCTGGGAGCGAAAAGGTAATTGGTTCTTTATTTGTATTATCTGTAATTTCCCCGTTACTTGGTTCACTGTGCAATGGTATAATTTTTGTGCTTTTCTATTCCCTGGTTTTAAAGGGCTTTCAAGGTTTCTAATGTCGAGCCAAGATGTTATTAAATTTAACCTTTGTCTTCCCACTCTTTTCTGGTCCTGAAGTTCCCTGTTTGCATCATAAGCTGGAGCTTCAGATGCTCACTCTGATTTATGCCTGGGAGGCCCTGGTGATGACCCCAGGCAAGTGTCGGTCTGAACTTCACCTGGCAAAGGCAGCTGTATACACGTGGGTGGGGGATGAACTTCTGTGGACAGGAAAGACCCCTGTGTCATTGTCACAGTGAGATAGGCCAGGGAAGGGCTTTGCCATCTGGAGTGGCAGGGTCACCTCTGCAGGTTTGTTTGTCAAGAGAAGATCTGTTCCCTGGTTCTCTGGCAGTGAGCCTGGACTGACAGTGTCTCATGGGTGGCCTTGGTACCCTCAGGCTGTGAGGCCTGTGATCAGACTAGCCACAAGCCCTGATGGTTCTCTGGTTTTATTAAGACCCTCTGTTGCCATATGTACCCTGTCCCATGCCCTCCTAGGCACTTGCTGGGGTCACACTGTCACACTGCAGGTCAGGTGTGCTTCCCAGAATCTCCAGTCTGTCCCTCCAGGGCACAGTGAAGGCTCCTGCTGCTATGCCCTGGCTGGGGCACAGAGGGCCTCTCAGGCAGCATCACAGAGCAGGTGCATGTACACAGTACCTTTTCTCCATCACCACTGACATCGGCTGGTTGTCGCTGTCCATGCAAGCCTCTCCCGGGCAGTACAGTTGATCCTTACTGACTGCACCCCAACTTCCCACCCACCAAATTATGGCCTCTAACATTCATGTCAGTAATGGCTGCTCTGCCTCCTCTCGTTTGGATTTTGAAATCCATGAGCAGAGAGCCATCTAGATCTTCCTGGGAGGGGATCTAAAATTTTGTTGGTATGGGCTTATAACTGTTTGAACACTCACTAGGATGGACATAATGGAGCAACATTGTGTAGTTCTGGACTGACCATCAGCTTTACTGCTGTGCCACGAAGAGCCGAGTGGCGCTTTTACTCTTACTGAGCACAGAGATGAAAAGTTCTTTTTTCCTTTTTCTAGCACTAGAGGTTGAACTCGGGACCTTTGCACTCAGCAACATCCCCAGCCTCTCCACTTTTTCTTGTTCTTTTTAAAAATTTTAATGTTTTATTTTGAAACACACTCTCACTAAGTTGCTTCGTTGCCCTGGCTGGGCTCAAAATTCTCCTTCATCAGCCTCCCAGAATGCTGGAACTACAAGCCTGTGCCACTACACCTGGCTTCAGAGATGAATATTTAGGGCCTAAATACACCTGAAAACTACTTATTGACAGATCAGAGTGGAGGCCTGCCTCTGTACCATGTTGGTGGTTATTGCTAGTAGTTTTTATGAGATGCTTTAAAGTTGTGTCTTCCTCATAGTTTCTTTTATTCTTGTATTTCATTTGCCCTAGAAGTGTCCACATGAATGTGTCAGTGTGATCTCATAGAACAGAACCCTAGGCTTTAGTTCCCATCTCTCCTAAAGGCCATTCTTTCCTATGCAGGCAGTTTGACATCTCTGGAGCTCACTTTCCTTGTCTCTAAAAGGGAGGTAATAGGTAGTACCTGCCTCTTGAATTTCATGGAGTTAAGATACTCAAATAGGAAAACATCCTAAAAACCATGCCATGAATGGACTTAGCATTTGTGACCCATGATTTCTCTGTCTATAAGCAGGGGAAGATGAGAAGATGCGAAGCTGTCCTATTTGAGAAAACTTCCCCCTGGACAGGTGTTCACCTCTGCTGTCAGAGGTTTCTCCTTGATATGTAACTGAAATCCATCTTTGTACAGTTTAAAATGATTTCTTCTCTTTTCTTTCTTCAAAGAGCAGCTGCTCACCCCACATCGTTTGTCTAGGCAACATAGAAGGAATCATGCTGAGTTTCTTTTTTCTTTTTCCAGCATCTGTAAACTACTCTCTACCTAGAGCAAATGCTATAAATGTGCAATTACCAGAAATAACACAGCAGAGGAGGCACTGTGCAGGGCCCCTCTGGCAGTAGAGGAAAGACAAATTTATAGTGTAAGACACAACTTTCTTGACTTTTCGTGCTTCTCCAGGATTTTTTGCTATTTGAATATTTTTTTTTCTGGCTGTGGAGGTTAGCAGGGGAGGAACAGAGTCTGGGCTACCATTCCCATCACCTGTTGTCTTTTGCCTGGATTTGGAACTTTTATTTTCCATTTTACCCATTATTCCATTCATTGTGGCTCAGGACAGCATTTTCTCTTAACACTTCCCTCTGGGCTCCCTCTGGTGTAGAGACTGTAGTTTAGTCTCCCAGGACCCAAGCTTACCTGTGATGACAGTACTGCTAGAGCCTGGTTTCCCCGGATGAATGCGCCCTGGGGAAGCATCTGCAGCTCTCCCACTTGAGGCATTTCAGCCATTCCACTAAAACCTAATTGAGAGGAAAATGACAGCGGGAGAGACCAAACCCCCAATCTCATGCTCCAGGGATGGTTCTATCAATGTAGTTCTTACTTACTTTTACTTTCCCTTGCTTTCTAGCAGGACCTTCCCCTTTGCCCTCGTGTGAATTTGAATTTTCTACCTTGCTCTCTTACTGCCTGGTACAGCTTACTACTTTGTCTTCTTGTAGGTCAGCAAAACTGGTGCCGAGGGAGCTGTTCTTGATGAAGCTAAAAACATCAATAAGTCTTTGTCTGCTCTTGGAAATGTGATCTCTGCCTTGGCAGAAGGGACAGTAAGTGACCCTGTCCACGTCTATTAAATAATATTACGAAAAGTTGCTTTTGGGTTTGCATGTTCTCTTTGTCACACAGCCTAGAGATTCATTCGTTTTTCTATTTGGAAAAGAACAGAAGGAATCCTGGCTGTGGATACCTGTTGCTGGGAGATCCAGTCCATTAAAAAGTGTGAATAGTGATGCTGATTTCCTATGGGCATTTTAAACTTTGGCAAGATCCAAAGACCTGGCCACAAATTGTTATTTCATGCATATTTCTAAGTCCAGTGTCTCCCTCCCTTATTGGCTTGCTTCTACAGTTTTCCTTTGAATGGGCCATCAAAACCAATACTTTTTCTTTTCCTACATAGAAAACACATGTGCCATACCGGGACAGCAAGATGACTCGGATCCTCCAGGACTCTCTGGGTGGGAACTGTAGAACCACCATTGTCATTTGCTGCTCTCCTTCTGTCTTCAATGAGGCTGAGACCAAGTCCACGCTGATGTTCGGACAGAGGTGCGTCTGGTCTCTTTGGGTCCGGATTCTGAGCTGAGTCTGAGGTCTTACGTGTGAGTGGTATGGGGCTAGTGTGTGAGCCTGAGGCTGTGAGCAGTTACTGAATTGGGTCTAGCAGGTGATCTGTGAACTTGAGGAATCATTTGGAATTTATTAAGGTCAAAGGAATAGTCATGGCTTTAAATAATAGGGAGGAATAAGCTAAAGATACGATGTTTAAAAGAGCAAAACAGAACACTCACAGAACTCATACTCACTTTCAGTCACACAGACTTTCTATAGATGCTACTTGATAACGGAGTGAAGTGTTGCTTTTGTTCTTCATGGAACCAAAGTAATGTTTAGGTTCATTTGATTTCAAGCGTACAAGTCTTGTATTGCTTAAATCTAGAGTCTCCTCCAAAAGCCTCATGTATTTGGAATTATGGGGGCATTATAGCTAAATGTACAGTTAGGAGTTGGGCCTGGTTGGAAGAGGCGGGTTTCTATAGAAATGACCTGGAAGGGTGCATCTCCCTGTCCCTCTCTGCTTCTTGGGTGCCGTGATGTTAGCAGGTTCCCTCCGCCATGCCCCTCCGCCATGCTGTTTGTACCTTGGAGCTAGCCAACCATGGACTGTCAGATTAGCCAAAATAAACCTCTTCTCCTTTGTGTTGTGGGAATCAGTTATTTTGTCCCAACAACAAGGAAATTGACTAATACTAGTCTCAAGATTGGTAACCACCTTTCACTCCCATGTTCGGGATCTTTTGCAAAGTTGCTTGTGAAACATCCAGGAATCTAGATGAATATAGAGTAGTGGCGTAAATAGAACAGGAAAGGAAAAGGCTCTTGTGCTAACCCTGAGGTAAGAGGTACAGATGCAGGCTGAAGGAAGAGGCTTATGCAGCTGTCCTCTCGCTTTCCAAAACGCCCAAATGAGACAAGCTTGGTCTCTGTGGTAGTGATAGGTTGGCAGCAGGAATACCCCAGGAATCCTCCAGCAACAATCCTGGATAGGGCTTGCTTCTTACCTTTCTTTCCATTCTTGCCGTTTTCTTTTTCACCTACCTCCTCCCGTTGCCCAGGGCTGACCTCCTTCAGCCATATTTCCTTAGCTCTGTTGTCCAGATCCAGTCCTCTCAGCCATGGCGTTCCCATGGTTAGTTAGTTTCCCAAGAGCTTGGAGCGCTGTGGAGCTGGACGACCTGAGCATCTTTAGTATCCAGTGGGCTGAGCCTGGAGCTGGAGTTGGAGATGGGGGTTCTACGGCCATCATTCCACCTGATGGAACACTCCTGTGGGCTTCGTACAAGTTACCAGTTCTCTGTGGCCCTTACTGCCTCATTTGTAAAGGCATGCTCCTCGCACTCTGCGGCCTTCCTCCTGGGAGTGGCTATGCCTGAGAAGCAGTTTCAAAGGCCTGGAGAAAGGTCTGGTGGGGTGGGCCGTGCCCCATGGGAAATTGCTGTGGCTTGTTTGAACTGCACGAAACCTGTCATCTTATGAGCCCTCAGCAGAACATAGAGTTATGCAGTCATAGCACTGGTGCGATGTCTAAATAAATAATAATCATGCTGAAATGTTGTGGAATTAACATCTTTTTAAACTGCATTTGGGTCCTTTACTTCCTCTCAGTGACTTCCTTGATTTGACAAATGCTTTGCCAGTGGGCTTGCAGTGGCCTAACACCCACTTTCCTCAAGGGTCCCAGGACACCTCTACACTAGCATGTGCTTTTGATAAACACGGAGTGCACCCTGCTTCTGTCCCCTTTCCCACTCAGTGTCCTAAACTTGAGCTTTAGCAGCTTCCTCTGGAGACATGTCTGAGCAAACTACCTCCAAATGCATTTATAAGTGAAATAGCTCTTTGAAAAAATTCCTACCTGGAAAGCAAAAATATTCTGGATCCTTTCAAGCCAAGGTCACTCTGGGTCATTGGGCTGACTTCAGGTAGCTGTTGTTCGTGGGCATTGGCAACTGTCTACAGATAGTAAATTAGGTATCAGTTCAAGGGATTATAGTCTTTCCTCTGATCTTAGGCCCTCATCAGCATCATCATTATCATTATCACATTTTCAAGCACCAGATAGGTGTTAGACATGTCAGAATCCTCCTTAGCATTTCTAACAGGTAGGGATTATTTCACCTTTGAACAGAGGGTAAAACTGAGAGTTAAACTAAAAGCCATTACATACCATACCTGAGACCATATAGTCAATAATTGAGTAAAGATACAGAATATCCTAGGATATGGCCTGTACTATTTGATCTAGAATTTCTCACATGAAGGCTGCTTGATCTGGAACCTTTATATTGGTCTGTTTTCCATTGCTATAGCAAAAACCCAAGGTTGGATACTTTATAAACAAAAGAGATTTATTTAAGCTAACAGTTCTGGAGATTCAAGGGCATGGTACTGTTATTAGTGTGGCTCTGGCAAAGACTTCATGAGAGATAGTACCACAGTGGCAGTAGTTTGTGTGAGAAGGGAAGACTACATGATGATACAGGAAGCCAGAGAGGCTGGGGAGGTACCCCATTTGTTCTTTTATATCAATCCTGTCATGAGAACTAACCAGGGTTTTGTGGAAACTACCACAATCTTTCTGAAGGCAGCATTACCAGTAACCCAGTTACCTTGTACTAAGCTGCATTTCTTAAAAGGTTTCACCACCTCTCTGCATCATCACATTAAGGACCAGGCCCCCAACACAGGAACTCTTGGGGTACACAAACCATGGCCCAACTATAGCAGTCTGGATGAGTGCACTGCAGTGTCTGAGCACAGCCCTTGGGTTCAGCACACCCAGTTATGAAGCTAAGATTTGCCACTGACCCATTCTCTTGTTTACTTCTGTCTAAGCCTGAAGTCTTCTTGCCTGTGGAATGAGATATAATAATCTTACTCCTTAGAGTGTATAAGAGAACTATATGAGTTGCTTCAGTTTTCATTTAGCATAGGCCAGCATGTAGTAGGCTAACACAATCACACGTTTAGCAGTTTGACGGTATTGACGTTTGGGAAGGTCATGGTAATAGATGAGATTAGATTGGATGTAAAGTCCTGTAAGGGACAGCACTGTAATTAAGAGATTGGATTGAATGTGGATAACCAAGGATTCTAGGAAATAAAAAGTAATGTCAATTATGTTTCCAGATGAAATTGGTTCATCAGTGTCATCTAGATTCTGAGCTGCATGACAGCAAGGAATGAGTTTGTCACTGGCATCAATTTCCACTCAGCATTTAGCACAAGTAGGGGCACAGTAAGTGGTCAGTAAATAAATGCTTATCAAGTAAATGAACCGGTGAACTTAAAGCTTATTATAGGATTCCATGCTGAACTGTCACACCATTATGGGCTAGTTAGGCCCAGAAGTCGGGTTCGGTTTGGATTTGGTGTTTGCTTTTCAGTGTATATTTATATATGTGTGAGGCTTTATTCCTTTGGGCTATCCCCAAGTTAGTTAATTGATTCTTTAAGGGACACTGAACTTCTCTATGGGGCCTGTACCTGTTTTATTGTTAGTGTGAGTTAGAACATTGGATTAGACACGGTATCCGATAGCAAATGAGATTAAGGACTTGGAACTCAAAAAAGCTGCTGGATGCATCCCAAATTCAGTATAACAAGCACGTGTTATATTCACGTTGCAGAGGTGGCCAGGTCTTAAGATAGTGTCGGGGTCTTCAGTTATTCCTCTGTGGCTCTTTCAAGGACAAGAGCCGAGTACGTGGCCTGGATTGCTGTTCTGAATAAACCCTGATAGTGTGACTTTGAAGCAGGAGAAACATGGTAGAGTCTGCAGATGTCTGAGGCACCCTACCCAGCCCCGGCCAGCCTTCCTCAGGGTTCTGGATTAGACAAAGGTAGAAGGGGAACCCACCGTGTCTGTGCCTGGGTGTCACTGATGAGTTCTTGCTCTTCTGCTCAGCCTTTCGCTTTAGCCCCCTGAGTGCCCAACACTGTGCTGTGGAAGAGGCAGAAGCTGCCACGGTTTTAAGCAAACTAGGAGGGAGCACTTAAAACCCCAGGCAGGCAAGAGTCAAACAGCCAGACTCAAATTAGAGCACTTTCATTGACGTTTTTTCTTTTTGGCCTTTGGCATTTTATTCTTTAATTACTCTTCCAAAATACTTGTGTAGTACTATTGGAAAAAGATATTTGTAAGTTTTAGGGGTGTGGACTCAAATCACCCAATTATCTTGGAAGCCTACTTAATGTGCCTTGATTTGGGGTGTTGGTGGGGGGAAGGTAACCCTGAGGGCCAGGCCAATCAGTTCAGGGAAATCTGGCTCAGCAGGTGCTTGCACCAAGGGTTTTGATTGATCCAGCATGAATAATTCAGTGATTTTATGTATATGTTGAATGTGGAAGGAGAATTGATAACTTAGAGAAAATAATACTCTTTCTTCTTTTCCTGATGTATACTATTTTAAAAAGACCATGGCATGATTTTAATCATGCCGCCTACCATTTTAGTGGCAGCTGGAGTAGGCAGCCTGAATAGAGTGCATGCTAAGTTTATGCTGTCGGAGCCTGAGATCGAGTTACCTGCAGAGGTGGAGTGAGCCTTTGGCCAAGGCACATACTTGGCTATTTTAACAGAAATTCAAAAAAGACTTAAATCACCCCTGTTGGAAGGCCCGTTGCTGGGACACCGGTAGGATTAGTTTTTGCTCTGGCAGGGAGAGATATTGTGAGTGACACAAATTTAACTACATGCTGACTCCTCATTTAAGTCATAAAAATTTTAATTTCTCTTTCTTGATCCTCTTCCTCGAAAGCAGGGCGATGGCTTCACCAGGCACTCCAAGGAAGCACAGGTGTTTATATGGCAACTGGGACTCAGATGATGGATGTTAGTGATAGTGTCAACCTCGCTAGGCTGTAGGACCTATTATTTAATCAAATGCTGATCTTGCTGTGACTGTGAAAGTATTTTGTAGATGTGGTTAACATATACAATCAGTCGACTTTAAATAGATTACTCTGGAGGATGAGAGTGGCCCTCA